GAATGGACATACGAAGTACTAACATGGGCACTGGGCCATGTTTCATTGAAAAAATATGAAAAAATGTAAATAATAACGGATTCGTTTTGTTTCAATTAATTTGCACAAGGTACTAGGTTCAGACTTACTGCTTTCTTTCACTATACGGTCAGTTTTAGACCCACTGGAGCGACTGGCTATTTTCCCCCTCAGTTTACGTCATTTGCAGTGGTGTGCAGTAATATGAATCCGTTTTCGGGGTGTATGATGAAATTTGTTTGACCTTGAAAAATATTGCGTCATCCGTGATTGCATCAGATTTTCATCATGCCAAGACACTATTGTCTCGACTGTTGATTAGTTGTCCTACGGCCATTGTCTGCGATGGACGTTACTCCAAGGAAGCGTACGAAAATTGTAACGCTGCACGAACACAAATCAAAGCCTTTACCAGTGAGCAGATCAAAGTACTATAGACTGGCTCGGAAACTTTGCTGATTTAAATCCAATCGAGAATCTGTGGTCAATCTGCAGGGAAACGATATCGTAGAATGGACATACAAAGTACAAACATGTGCACCCTGTCATATTTCATTGGAAAAATAGAGAAAAAAATAACGGAATTATTCGTTTTGTTTCAATTATTTATAAAAAAGGTAATTGATATAAAAGGGCGATGTTCATTTTGAAGAAAAGGTTGAAAAAATATTTTTAAAAGCCTGCAGATTATTTGAATTCGAGCCATTTTCTGGACTCATCTTTTAAAAATTTTCATTTGGATGTGTGTTAATAAAAAGCGGTGTCAACATGAATAACGTCATCTGACTTCTCAACATAGGCTTGTAAAAAGGATTTTTTCTGGATTAGTCGTCCTTAAGCCATTGTCTATCTTCGATGATGGACGTTAAAAACATTTTTTCGTCCAAAATTGAAAATATGCCAGAATGAAAATCAATTTCTTGAGCAAATCAAAATTGATATTTTGAAAAATGAAACTCTATGGAAAAAAACCAAAAAACTTGAATCTTTGGGGTTCTTTTAACAATTGTTCGTGGAATGAAAAGAATGTCATAACAAAAAAAAAAAATTTCATCTTTTTATTTGGATTGGAAAACAATTTAAATTTTGTTTAATTGTTTTTATTCGTTTTAATTCAATTAATTTGATAAATTAAATACGCTTGTTAATTTAAAAATATTTTTTAGCCAAAATATAATTTCTACATCCGGGAATTTCTTATTCAAATATGTTAAAATTTTAAATTAATATCTGATAAATTAAAGCGAAATTAAAGGACATCAAAGTTTGGAAATATCCAAAATGGATCCGAAATCAATTTGGGCATTATGAAATTTTTAATTTTAAAAAAAAAATGATATTTTTAAGGTTTACCAAATATTGACGCAGACGTGTAGGTGGTTTTTATTTATTTATTTATTTTTTTTTTTTTTTTTAGTATTTTTTTTTTTTTTTTTTTGATTCGCGTTTTTTTTCTTTATTAAAATGCTTTTTCGTCTCGCTCAAATCCTCGGCAAATTTAATTTTGATTGAAAAATTCTCGTTTCCAAATGCGAGTCTATACAATTCGCTCGGCTTTCCGTCCGTTCTCTCCGTTGCTGTTTCGCGATGATTTTAAGCAATCGCGTAAAAATCCATTTTAATATATGATATCTTACTAAACCACCACCACCAAACTTTGTCAACCCTAGTAATAAAACAATATCTATATACGCTATACATAATCAATAATTTTCAATAAAAATGGACCGTTTTGTGCAAATAATAATTTAAAAAAAGTTTGAAATTAAAAAAAATTTGTTTCTCCCCCCCACCAATGCAACGTAAACTTCAGTCTAATGTAGATCGGTGAAACGGAGTGCTAACGCCATGATGTATTCGTAAAACTTTCCAAAGATTAAACTAACATCCGGTTTCTATCATTTTTTCATTCATTTTTCTTCCTTTTGGATCTTTTTCTTTCTTTAAATTTTTTCAAATTTTCCTTATTTTCTTTATATTCTTTCTTTTCTTACCATAATTTTTTTCCTCACATCGATATAAATCAAACAGATTTTCCTTTTTTTAGACGGTCATTATTAATAACGACCTAAAAATGAAAAATGACATGTAAGAGAATTCTTTCTTTCTTTCTTTCTTTCTTTCTTCTCTATTTTTAGTCAAAATACCTTCCCTCCTTTTTCATTTTAAAATTTCTTCTTTATTTAAATAAATATATTCCATCCATATTCTTATCTTTATTTTCTTAAATTTCTATTTTCTTTCTGGATAAAAATCAACTTTTTTTTTTTTCTCATAGTAAATTTTTTCTTTCTTCTTTTTTTTTATCTTCTTTCTAATTTGTATATTTTCAAACAATTTTTTTGCATTCCTTCATTTCTTCTTTTCTTTCTTTCTTTCTTTTTATTTCTTTAATAAAAATTATTTTTTATACAATAATGCATTCTTTCTTTCTTTCTTTCTTTCTTTCTTTTTTTAAAATAAAAAAAAATTTTTTTAAACCTTCCTTTCTTTTCTTAAAAGATTTCCTATTTTCTTTTTTTCAAATAATATTTATTAAAAGCCATCACATTTTCAATTTGTTTTCCGTTTCCTTGTTCTTTCTTTCTTTCTTTCTTTAAATTTATTCTTTCTTCCTTTTTTATTTTATTTCTATTCTTTCTTCCTTTCTTTTATCAATTCCTAAGTTTTAATTTTCTTTCTTTGTTTAAAAGTCATAAACATTTTCATCAATTTGTTTTTCCTTTCCTAATTTCTTAAAAATTTCATTCATTTCTTATACAATATATTTTCATGATTTTCATTTTTCCTTTCTCTTTTCTGGATGACATTGTCTTTTTTTTTCGGACGTTTTTCCTTTTCCGTTCTTGGATTTTCTTTATTTCTTTTATTGAAAATGTTAATTCGAAAAATTTATAAATTTTCATTTTTTTTTTTTTCTTTAAATTTTGTTTTTCTTAAAACAATTGTACAAAAAACTTTTCTGCTTTCTTTCTTTTTGCTTATTTTATTTTCATCATGACTTTTTTTATTTTAATATTTATAATTTTCCATTTTTCATTTTTTTCATTTTTTTTTTTCTTTCTTTCTTTTTAATTTTACTCGAGAAATTTAATATTTCTTTAAAATTTTATTTATTTATAATTAGATTTCAATTTATATTCAGATTTTTATTTTTCTTTTTGATTTTCTTTTTTTTTTTCTTTTTTTTAACATTTACTTTTTTTTTTTTTGAAATAAAATACCTTTCTTTCTTCCTTTTACGATATCTTTTTTTCATACACTTCCTCAGTTTATAATTTTTTCTGAAATTTTTCTTTTAAAAGGACAACTTTTAATTTGTTTTAAATATAATTTACATTTTGTGCATTTTTTTTTTTCCTTCTTTCTTTTTAACATTGTCGTCAGAAATATATTTCCTTTTTCTTAGAAAAAAAAAAACTTTGTTTTTTTTTTATTTTCTTTCTGTAAAACATTGTCTTCTTTTTTTTAATGAATTTCCTTTTTCTTTCTTTCTTTCAATTTTTTTTACATTTTTAAGACTTTCTTTTAAACCAATGAAATTTTCTTGATTTTTTTCTAAAATAATTTCCTTTTTCTTAACATTTCAAATTTAATTGGTATTTTAGAATAATTCTTACAAATTTCCAAAATTGTCTTTATTTATAACATTTTCCTTTTTCTTAACATTTCATTCTTTCTTTCTTTTTTTTCTAACGTTGTCTTCTTTTTTTAACATTTTCTGAAATCTTTCTTTCTTTCTAACATTGTTCTAACATTTTCCTTTTTCTTAACATTTCATTCTTTCTTTCTTTTTTTTCTAACGTTGTCTTCTTTTTTTAACATTTTCTGAAATCTTTCTTTCTTTCTAACATTGTCTTTTTCTAACATTTTCAGTTTATATATTTTTTTCTTCTTTTTTTTCTTTCTTTTTTTTTTTTTTTTAACGTTAATCTTTTATTTTTTAACATTTTCTGAAATTCATTTTTCTTTCTTTCTTTCTAATTTTTGATTTTTTTTTAACATTTTTTTTTTTTAACAATTCTTTCTTTTTTTTTTTATTAACTTTAGACGTTTTCTTCTTTTTTTTTTAAACATTTTCTGAAATTTTCTTTGTTTTTAACATTGTCTTTTTCTTAACTTTTTTTTTTCTTATATTTTCATTTCTTTCTTTCTTTTTTTTCTTCTTTTTGTTTTTTTTTTTTAACATTTTCTGAAATTTTTTCTTTCTTTCTAACATTGTGGTTTTTTTTCTTAACATTTTCCATTTTTTTTATTTTTTCATTTCTTTCTTTCTTTTTTTTTTAACATTTTCTTTTTTTTTAACTTTTTTTTGAAATCTTTCTTTTTTTTCTAACATTTGTCTTTTTTCAAAATTTTCCTTTTTTAACTTTTTTTTTTCTTATTTTTTTTTTTTTTTTTCTAACATTTTTTTTTTCTTTTTTTTAACATTTTCTGAAATCTTTCTTTCTTTCTAACATTGTCTTTTTCTAACATTTCCTTTTTCTTAACATTTCATTCTTTCTTTTTTTTTTTTTTTTCATAACGTCTTTTTTTTTTTTTTTTTTTTCTGAAATCTTTATTTTCTTTTTTAACATTAGAATTTTTTAACATTTTCCTTTTTTTTAACATTTCATTTTTTTTTTTTTTTTTTTTCTATTTTGTTTCTTTTTTTTTTTCATTTTTTGAAATTTTCTTTCTTTTTCTTTCATTTTCTTTTCCTTTTTTCTAACATTTTTCTTTTTTCTTAACATTTCTTTTCTTTCTTTTTTTCTTTCCTTCTTTCTGTCTAACATTGTCTTCTTTTTCTAACATTTTCTGCAATCTTTTTTTCTTTTTTTCTTTCTTTCTTTGTTTCTTTCTTTCTTTATTACATTGCCATCACTTTTTCAATTGTTTTTCCTTTTCTTTATTCTTCCTTTCATTAACTCATATATCGTCTTTTCTTTGTCTCATATATTTTCCTTTCTCTCTTTATTACATTGCGTTAACCTTTAACTCATATGTTTTTTCTTTCTTTTTTTCTTTCTTTCATTCTCACATTGACTTCACATTTTCTCACATGTTTTTCCTTTTCTTTCATCATTCTTTCTTTCTTAATTTCTAACACCGCCTTCTTCCCCCCCTCACAGTTTCTGCTTTCTTTCTTAATTTCTTTCATACATTTTGCCTTCTTTCATTTTTCCTTCCTTACTTCTTTCTTTTTTGCTTCCGTTCGTTCGTTCTTTCTTTTAATTTTTACTTACATTCTCTGCAATCTTTATTTCTTTGTTTCGTTATTTATTAGATTGCCTTCACATTTTCTTTCTTTCTTTCTTTCTTTCTTTCTTTCTTTCTTAATAAACTTTCTCTTTTCTTCATTTTCTCCAAATTCGTTTTTCTTTTCTTTCTTTTTCTTTCTTTCTTTCTTTTTTTTCTTTCTTTCTTTTTCTTTCTTTTTTTCTTTTTCTTTCTTTCTTTCTTTCTTTCTTTCTTTCTTTCTTTCTTAATAAACTTTCTCTTTTCTTCATTTTCTCCAAATAGTTTTTCTTTTCTTTCTTTTTCTTTCTTTTTTTCTTTTTCTTTCTTTCTTTCTTTCTTTCTTTCTTTCTTTCTTTCTTTCTTTCTTTCTTTCTTAATAAACTTTCTCTTTTCTTCCTTTTCTCCGAATAGTTTCTTTCTTTTCTTTCTTTTTCTTTCATTCTTTCTTCTTTTCTTTTTCTTTCTTTCTTTCTTTTACTTCTAGTTTTATTCTTTTTTAATTCATTACTTATTTTCGGTTTTTCCTTTATATCTGTTAATTTCATTCATTCATTCAATCATTCATTCTTTCATTTTACCTTTGATTTTTCCTTTATAAATTTCCTTCATCTTTTACTATCGTCTTTCTGTGTATTTCCTTTCCTAGTTTCATTCATTTCTTCTTTCATTCTTCCTTGCTTCGTATATTTACTTTTCAAAGTTTCTTTCAACATTAATAACATTCTTCAGTTTCTTCTTTTCTTTTTTCTCTTTCATTCATTCATTCATTCATTCTTTCTTTCTTTCTTTCTTTCTTTTATTCATTCATTCTACGTTGTATTGGGAGTATTCGTTGTTTCCGCCATTTTCTTTCTTTCTTTCTTTTAGTTTAAACAAATTCGATCTATTTTTCTGTTTTTCTTAGTTTCATTCATTAATTCAATCCTAAATTCTCTTTAATCTTTTTTTGATTTCCAGTCATTCTTTCTTTGACATTTATGTCTATCTATCTATCTATCTATGTCTGTCTGTCAGTATCTATCTATCTATCTATCTATCTATCTATCTATCTATCTATCTATCTATCTATGTCTGTCTGTCAGTATCTATCTATCTATCTATCTATCTATCTATCTATCTATCTATCTATGTCTGTCTGTCAGTATCTATCTATCTATCTATCTATGTCTGTCTGTCAGTATCTATCTATCTATCTATCTATCTATCTATCTATGTCTGTCTATATAGTTATCTATCTATCTATCTATCTATATTATGTCTGTCTATCATTTATCTATCTATCTATCTATCTATCTATCTATCTATCTATGTCTGTCTGTCTTTCTATCTATCTATCTATCTATTTATATATGTCTGTCTGTCAGTATCTATCTATCTATCTATCTATCTATCTATCTATCTATCTATGTCTGTCTGTCAGTATCTATCTATCTATCTATCTATCTATCTAGCCAGCTAGCCAGCTAGCTAGCTATCTCAGTCTGTTAGTATCCATCTATCTATATCAGTCTTTTCATATCTATCTATCTATCTATCTGTTTCTGTTCATATCTATATACGCTTTTTCATATTTAGCTAGCGAGTGTTTGTTATCTATCTAGCTCAATAGGTTAGCTGGCTAATATATAGTTTGTTAATTGCCATCTATCTGTCTTTTTATATCTATCTATCTATCTATCTATCTATCTATCTATCTATCTATCTCTGTTCATATCTATCTACGTTTTTTCATATTTAGCTAGCGAGTGTCTGTTCTTATCTATCTATCTATCTATCTATCTATCTATCTATCTATCTATTTGTCTGTGGATTTTTTTTTTCTATCTATTATTATTATTTTCTTTTTTTTGATTTTGACGTTTTACATTTCTTTTCCGGGTCCAAGATAGGGACCTAAGGTTAGAATGGCATCATGACACTTTCCACTAAAAAAAAAAATTACATAGATAAAGCCCTTCGTAAAGTGTGGGCTGTACTTGTCAGAACAATATTTTTGTATTTCCTTGAGGCATCGATATCCAGGAATCCTTATATATTAGTCCACTGGAATTATATTTTTCCAACCAATCTTTTTTCCAACTACAACAGAAAATTGTTGATATTCCCAATTGCCACATTTTTGAGATTTCTATTTCAAGGTCCTTGTATTTTGACAGCTTATTATTATTATTATTATTATTTTCTTTGATTTTTTTTAACCAGAGACACAAGATAGATATGGTTTGAAAGACATTTTCTACTGATAATAAGGAAAAACGAAAATGAAATTAACTGAAGTCTGGTATACCCTTTTTTTTGGAAGGCACGGTGGAAATATGGATATATATTTGGATTGAGGAATATGGAGGTTAAAACAATTTCCAGTCGAATCCAGTTACATTTTCTTATTTAATATTATTATTGGAAAAGGTTACAACCCTCTTTCTTTTTTCCAGCTATGGGTAACATCATACAGATTGGGTTCTATATTTTTGGATGGCAACTGGTCTCAAATGTCTGAAGGAAAATTAATCTCTGAATTCAAACCTGCTCAAGAGGAGGGTGAATAGAAGAAATCTCTTTTTATTAATGGTTGGCAAAACATGGTGTGTTGTTTGTCACGAAAAAAATTTCCCTTGATATTCCCTAGCGAAGCATCAAGAATTCAGCTATTTGACAAGATTTATGAACTACACCAATCAATATATTGAGGTTTATTTCAATCTCGGCATATTCATCTGTACAACAGAGAGAATGCATTTCTTCCAGAAAAAAAAAAATCGTCAACACAATGGTATTTCTGTCTATTTTAACTTGTATCTTTTTTGAACACCAATAAGGCTGCCTTCAAGGTAATTTTATTTATATCTCTGTTGGGGTTTGAATAAATTTGGGAAAAGGCATACCCTTCAAAGATAAAATATTTCATTTTCTTTTTTTTTTATATCTTCTATCTTTTCTACGGGTGGCTTAAATGTCCTGAATTATTCTAACATTCTCACCAAATGGATCTAGTTTTTCCAAACAGTTTAAAATAGATCTTCGTGTCTAAATATGTATCCTTTTGCATTTGCGTTACTCTCTCCGTAAATAGTTTTGTACATCTTTATAAATAATCATTGGAGCAAAATTTTAAATGTGTTGTTTTATTCTCGTCCCCCACAGATAATAAATTGTATATATGGACAATGTGGATATATAGAGACCAGGTGGTATTATGGTGATATAAAGTAAATAAAAGGTTGATAAGAATGTGTTGTTTGGTGTAATTTACTGTTATCTGTTTATTTGAAGTGTTCATGGCTCTTTTTACCCCAATCAAAACCATGAAAAAGCATGCCACCTATTTATAATTAAATACAAATAAATATTGAAATTCCTCTTTCCGATATCATCATAAAATCATTGATCCGTTTTGCATTTCTTGTTTCATTTTTTTCCTTGACAATTTTTTCAATTATAGGTGCCATTTAGAAGACAAATCTTTAAACTTACTCAAAAGAGTTCTGGAGTCATAAAATGCTATTTGGAGTTATTTCTTTTAAGTGGAAATGGATTTTATTTGTAAATCGATCCTAAAATAGGTTCGATATAAAACGTTTTTTTGATATAATATGTATTACGCATAAATAATCTAGTTGTGATAAATATACTTTTGTATTCGACTATATGTCGTCCGACATCGACTCACTTTTATTTGATGACAACACGTTTCTCTTAAATTAACATCCTACTTATGGGTAAATTTAACCATATTAATTATAAAAAAGGTGTGTTCCACTATAACATAACGCTATTTTATATTTCTATATCCTTCATTTCTTTCATTCTCTTTTTAAAAAATGTATCTCTCTCTCTCAAAATTTTATATTTGTTTTTCTTATTATTAAATATATCTCTATCTAATTTTCTCTCATCAAATTGATCTCCTTTAATTTACTTTTTTTTATTTTTGTCTCTTTTCTTATTTTGTTTCCTTTATAATTTTAAATTATTTTAGAAATTTTTCTTAAAAACTTTTCTTTTAAATTTTTTTTTTTCGTTTTCTTACATAATTTGTTTTTTTTTTTTTTTTTAAATCTCTTTTTTCAAAATTTTTCTTTCACTTAAATATTTTTTTTTTTTTTCTTTTTTTTTTTTTTTTTCTATTTTTCAGTCATCTTCAGGCATGAAAAATTTTTTTTTTTTATATAAAATTCAGGTAGCATCCGAGATTTGAAAAAATATTGATAATCGAATTTTTTTTTTTTTTTTTTTTTTTGAAATAAATTTTTTAACGGATACAAACTTTATTTATATATGTATGCAACGCTAAGGTTGAATTTTGAAAATTTAAATTTTTAGTTTTTTTTACTAATATGACAATTTGAATCTATTTTTGTTGTAGGAGTTTATCAATCAATGTGGCATGAACTAATTTGTTCAATAAATTTTTAATGTCTATTTTTGTTATCCTGAAGATTTGCACGTCGGATCAGTTCTTTTAAATCAAATATCGAAAATGAAGTTCAATTTTATATTACAATGAATCATTCATAAAAAAAGTAGATTAAAAAATTAAATATATAAATGGCGAAATAAATCATAAAAATTTTAAAGATACATTAACCTACAAATCACTTTGATGAATGTTATGATATTCATTTTTCAAAAAAATTATCTCTTCTGTATAAGGTCTTTCTTTAATACGCAATATTTTCGAAAAAACAGAAAACTTTAAATAAAATTTTTAATTTATAGGGATGGCTATGATGTCCGACAGAACGATATGACATCAACAGAAGTCGCGGGTCTTTTTATCACGAACTTTAATTAATATCGACGAAAATCAAGGTACACCTTCTAAAAAATTTTAAATAAAAGAATCCCTGACCTTTCAACTCTTAAAATGAAGATAATTATATATTTCAAGACATTTTTTTAAAAAAATACATTCTTTTTATAGATACAAAATATTTAAGTAAATGCTCTGTTTATAATAAACAGTATTAAACAAATATATATATCTAATATGAATATCAATATATATATATTTATCTAATTTAATATTAAGACCGGACTTCGACATATAAATATCTGGTACCAGAAACAAAAATCAACGTCAAACATCCAGAAAAATGGACAACTGCGATTTAGTGAACCCTTATGGGAAAATCTTCCCAAGAATATACCAAATAATATAAATATATTACCTATTATTTTTTAAATACATTTAAAATATAACATATTTAAATTAAAATTTCAAAAGGATAAAATTTAAAATTCATAAATTGAAAATGATAAAATAATTTTTATATTTAACATTTTTATGAATAATTATTTTTTGAATATAAATGAATTTAACAGTTTATACATTTTATTTTATTTTGTTTATATATATTAATAGATACAAATATTTGTAAATGATTTTTATAATAAACAGTATTAAACAACATATACCGGCTTGAATGTCCTTTCTTTATTTATAATTGATTTTCTGGTTTATAATATAAAAATATTTGAAACCTTAAAATAAATACATGATTATGTCCATTTCATAATATTCAATATATATTAAGAAATGGACAAATTCATGAACAATATATTTATAAATAAATTTTTTTTTTTTTTTTTAATTTTAACGTTATTATTTTATAATATAAGTATTTAAGCAAATGCTCTGTTGGAATAAACAGTATTAAATAACATAAATACCGGCCTGTATAAAAAATTTTAATAGAATATATTCGTTTTTCATATATTTAAAATGAAAATATAATATTTTAACCGTCATTTAAATAAAGCCGTTTATCTAAAAAATAAATATAAAAAACGTAAATTTTATAAATTTATTGAATTACGAAAAATTGAAATGTCGATTAAATACTTTTAATATATTTTCGTTGTTTACAAATACATACAAGAAATTTTATGAATGTACAAATTTTCATGAATTGTTTATAATTTATATTTTCATAAAAAATTCTAAAATAAAATAATTTTTAAACGTTATTTGTAAGGCATTCCTCTCGTATATAATATATTTTATGAAAATTACGGACATTCAGGCCGGTAAATGTTATTTAATACTGTTTATCATAAACAGAGCATTTTACTTAAATATTGTATCTATAAAATAACAACGTTAACGTTAAAAAAAAAAATGTCTTTAATAAATAAATTGTCGGACCTTGTCCATTTCTTAATATATGACGTCATTTGTTTACATTCGATACGCCAGAGCAGTTATGAATGTACGAGATTCATGGAAGATTGAAGTTTATAAGCAGTAAATTCGACCTTGTCTACCGAACGGTTCTTTGTGGCCGAGCGGTAAGGCACGTCAGCGTATATGACGGTTCCGTATAGGATGCAGGTTCGAATCCTGTCAAAGAACGAATATTTTCTATGAAAATTTCTCGGACATTCAGGCCGGTAAATGTTATTTAATACTGTTTATCATAAACAGAGCATTTGCTTAAATACTTGTATCTATAAAATAACAACGTTAAACATAAAAAAAAATGTCTTTAATAAATAAATTGTCGGACCTTGTCCATTTCTTAATATATACGTCATTTGTTTACATTCGATATATGAAGCAGTTATGAATGTACGAGATTCATGGAAAATTGGAGTTTATAAACAGTAAAATTCGACCTTGTCTACCATGATTGCTTCTTTGTAGCCTAGCATAAAAGGCACGTCAGCGTATATGACGGTTCCGTATAGGATGCAGGTTCGAATCCTGTCAAAGAACGAATATTTTCTATGAAAATTTCTCGGACATTCAGGCCGGTAAATGTTATTTAATACTGTTTATCATAAACAGAGCATTTGCTTAAATACTTGTATCTATAAAATAACAACGTTAAACATAAAAAAAAATTCTT